TGGTTTCAGGCTAATGAAGGCTTGTCTTGCTTTTCCGATTCTGACTTTGACGTCCTCGTCCGTCCCGCCTGTAGTTGAAACAGTGCTTCCTAGATAAGTGAAGGAGGTTACTTCCTTCAAGTTTCTCCCGTTCATGGTGGTGGTGATTGGAGTTTGTTGTTGTTGTTGATGGTGGTGGTGCGGTATCTTCATCACCTCTGTCTTCTCTATATTCACCTGAAGTCCCGTCTTAGCTGCCTCTTCTATCAACTTGTTAGTTTTTGCCTGTAGACCTTCAAGTTTATGTGACATCAGGCACACGTCATCGGCGAAATCCAAGTCTTCTAGGTTCTTTTCCGTCGTCCAGCGTATCCCCCTCTTCTCGCTGCCTACTGTTTGCTGCATGATCCAGTCCAACAGAATAAGGAATATCATGGGGGATAGTAGGCAACCTTGTTTCACTCCTGTCTTCACTTCAAAGGCATCGCTGAGCTTCCCATTGTGGATTACTTGGCATGTGGCATCTTCATATAGTTGTTGAATGAGGCGGATAAAGGTTTGCGGTACTCCGTAGTATTGAAGCAGTTTCCAAATTACTTCTCGGTCGACGCTGTCAAAGGCCTTCTCAAAGTCGATGAAGTTGAGGTAGAGAGCTGATTGCCATTCTACGCTCTGTTCTATGATGATACGAAGCGTTGCAATTTGGTCGGCACATGATTTGTACTTCCTGAAGCCTGCCTGTTCCGGTCGCAGTCTTGAATCCAGTGCGTCTTTAAGCCTCTCTAGGATGATGCGGCTTAATATTTTACTTGGGGTGGACAGGAGAGTGATTCCGCGCCAGTTCTTGCAAGCACTGAGGTCTCCCTTCTTCGGCAGTTTGACAAGGTAACCCTTCTTCCAATCACCAGGTACCTTCTCTTCCTTCCACACCTTCTGCAATAGTGGTGTGTGCATGTCCTCTGTTGTCTCTGCGTCTATTCTCAGTGCTTCTGGCGGTATCCCGTCTGGTCCTGCTGCTTTCCCGCATTTCAGCAGCTTTATGGCGTTCAGGACTTCCATTTTTGTTGGAGGATTTATGTTCACTTGTAATTCAGCGGCTGCAGGTGGTATTTCTGGACGAAGTGCAGGTGGTGGTCGATTCAAGAGCTTCTTGAAGTGGTCGGCCCATCGTTTCCTTTGTTTCTCTTCTTTCGTAATTAAATTTCCTTCTTCATCTTTTATTGGTTTCATCTGTGTTGGTCTCTTCCCTGATAGCAACCTGGTTATTTGATACAATGTCGTCAGGTCTCTCTTACCAGTCGGCAGCCTGTTCTGCTTCGCTTGCTAGTGTTTCGTAGAAGTGTCTTTTGTCTTTGCGTGCACTCTTCTTCACTTCTTTGTCCAGTGTTTTATACATTGTGCTCAGTTCCTCTTGTCGTTGAGCATCCTTGCACTGGTTTATCTTCTGCTTCACCATCCTCCTCTCCTCTATCAGCTTCCAGGTATCCGTCGAGATCCATTCCTTGTCTTCTTTCTTCTTCCTTCCTAATACTGTTGTGCAGGTTTCTTTCCACATAGCTTTCAAAGACTTCCAGTGTTCTTCCACACAGGTTTCTTCAGGGATGTCCCTCGATGTCTCCCATTTTGTCTTGATGGCTGCCTTGAAGATCTCCTTTGTAGTTTCATCCTTCAGTTTCCGAGTGTTGTACTTGAACTGTGTGTAGTCTATCACCAGCTTCCTTGAAGGCTTTCAACTTGATTTGGAAGGTTCCTTGCACTAGATAGTCTGTTGGTCTAAACCTACATCTGCTCCTCTTCTTGACCTTGTGTTAAGTAGACTGCGTCTCCATTTTCTTGAGATTGAGATAAAGTCGATTTGATTTTTAGTGTGTCCTGGTGTCTGGTGAAATCCATGTCGCTTTGTGGATATCCTTGTGCCTGAACACACTGCCTGACTCCAATCACCAAATCGTTGAATCAACAGAATTCTGCAAACAATTCTCCATTCTCGTTCACCACCTGACCGAGCGCTTCCCAACCCATGGTTAGTTCTCTTCCTGTGTTGTCCCCTCCCAGTTTGGCATTCATGTCGCCCATTAGAATTTTGATATCGCCAACTGACGTCTTGTCCAGTGTTGATTGAAGTTGTCTGTAGAATTCCTCCTTTTTCTCTTGCTCTGCATTATTTGTAGGTGCATAACATTGTATGATTGTGACCTTTCTTCCTTTTGAGTTGAATCTTGCTGTCATGATCCTGGAGGAGATTGGTTCCCACTGCATGAGAGCCTTCGATGCTCTTGAGGACATCATGATAGCCACTCCCTCAGTGTGCTCGTGGTTGGCGTCTGGGTGACCGGAGTAGATTATTGATTCTCCAGTTGACAGTTTGGAGAGTCCACTCCCATTCCATCTGCTTTCGCAAATCCCAAGCACTTCGATGTTATACCTTCTCATCTCCTTTGCAATCTGGGCTGCCTTACTGGGTTCAAACATCGTGCGGACATTCCATGTCCCCACGTTTACTTTCGCTTTCATCTAAGGAGAGAAGACACATCGGCCAATTGGCTTCCCGAAGGCTTTCACCAACTGGCGTCATTTCGCCTCTCCGATTCCAGCGGGGAATAAGTTTGTTTTCATTTTTTATATTTTGTTTGTGCTTTGAAGTTTGTTTAGCGGTTAGATTTGTTTTACGGGGTAGGGTTGCTAGCCCTATGCCCAACCTTCCCTCTTTACCCGGCTTAGGACCGGCTAGTAACTAGTGAACTAGTTAACCAGGCGAGGCTCGAAACGTAATCAAGTAAATAATACTCTGTCACTGTGCGCTTTATATCAAATAAACAAATCTAATGTGGAATTACATTCTACCATAGTGCCAAGTTTTTCACTTATATTGAAGTAAATTTTGATTCACTCAGGTGGCTTGCAGATGTGTCACGTAAGCCTAATAACTTTGTACGGCATCATATATTGTTACACGAGGTAGATTCAGGCAGGAAAAGGCCTATAAGCGACCAGACTAAAACAAAGAATCAGTCCTCGACTGTTAGTCTGAGTTTCGTGAGAGAATGTAAACTTCGTGTTTAGAATCTGTGTGACAATTGAGTTTGGCGTTCGACGACTGTGAGTGATGTGGCTCGGAATCGATCTCCGTGGTGCAGATATATCCACACACTATCCTTATTTTAGTCACCAAACCGAATTTCACTATTGTTCCATTTCCACTTGTTCTCATTTCACGTCTTTCTCCTATTTTCGATTACCTTCCTATTTTTCTCTTGTACCTACTGCATTCTCGTTAGATGTGTTGATGTAAGGTGTGTCAACTGGGGCCATAACACAGTAATACCTCGTCCCATGTTGATACTGACTGGTTGACTCAGCCAATTCATTTCTATTTATAAAGCCATATTAAGCATTGACAGTCTATACTGTTGGGACACTAAACATCAATGTTCATCGCCTCATCGCCATATGATGATCTTGTAACTGCAGACTGGTCCTCTTCATCCCAATATAAATATGCATCCCACTAGTGTTTTAATCCCCTCTGAGGAAGAAAGAATAGGGATCCCTGATGAGCATGATTTGGAACGGTATGCCACTCAGAGTTTATTGCACAGCACCATTGTATAGCTACGTTCAACGGATTTGCTTTGACTCCTCACTCTTTCCTCTATGACTTATGTTCTTTGGATGACGATATATCAAGCAGAATAAATTACTGTGTATTACCTCGTCTCCAATGCATGAAACCATTCGTCATCCAGTGTTAATAACCCCGGTTTGTCGGACCATGATCACCTCACGTAGTCATTATTCATGAGTTATTTCAGTGCCACAAATTATGTTGCATCGTAGACAGGCATTTCAGTTTTATCTGTAGGTGACTCGAACTAACACAGGCCAGTAAGTATGAGAATTTGTCTCTCATTGTACAAGGCTATGGACAAGCAAACTGTGTGATTCATCACCTGGATGAATTGCACATACGAGACCTGACAAGTAACTGAGAGATCAAGGTCAGAGTTCGAAGGTGAATCGAGAAAGTTAAGTGTTTCCGGGAACTACGATTAGGCAGAGAATAACAGTGTTACTAACGAAAAGTTCACAGTTAACTGCCCTGTACATAATAAATAAATAAAGCACTTTATTCAGCAGATCTCTGCTTTAGCTCATTTGCTGCTCCATCTCCATTTGCTTGTAGAATCCAACAAACTGCACAGCCGCTAAGTATGTGACGTTTGACTTTACAAATCTGTGTGGATTCGGTTGTTCTGTTCACCAACTAGCATTCTGTTTGCAAATGGCATTTGAGAACGAACGTGTTCTGGTTATGGAACGGCATCCTTCTGGAGACATTTTCCGAGAATGGCTTCAGCAAAACACACTGCCACTCTCCAACACATGCAATAATAGACACTCCGCTGGTCGAACAGGTACGTTGAGGAATATTATCATGCAATGTCACTAAATATCAGTTTTTTCTCCTCTCCTCCCTTTTGTGTTCCATTTTACATCGCAGCAATTAGTTTAACTAAGGAAACCTAGGCAAATTGCTAACGATGGTAATGAGAGGCAGGTGCAAGTGAACCAGGCAAATGTTTAGATCATTCCAAGCTGTCATCAACCCTGACATGAATTCGAGTTGGCAGGAAATCGGCTAGGCGTTTATCCCCTCTACAAGATACGTTGTTGACGACTAACATATGCAAGTTGTGTGAGGGATTTATATGAGGGTAAATGGATGTCTGTACACAGGCGGTCAGATTGTGGAAGTGTCCACTCCGTAATATTGATGAAAAATGCTATCACAACACTAGTTCATGCACGATATATCTTAACTCAGTCACTAGTCACAATTGGGTGTGAGGAGCAGACTCCACACTAGAAATATTCACATTATTACTGTATTTGTATACCAGTACACAACTTTATTCGTCTTGATAATCTCTTCCATTCAAAGCTTACACACAAATCATATTCACCATGTAGCATAAGAAAGCTCAACCATAATTGATATTCCTATAAATCAATAATTTCAGATACTGTTGTCTGTCCGTTGAAAGGATACAGTCCAGCGAAACACAACTGGATTCCACAGGTTCTCCCGAAAGATTTGGTTGAGAAATTGTTGCGTTTGCATGGAGCACCGTATGCATGGTTTGCTGGTCAACTGGCTGCATATATTTTACGTCCAAAATTACGCCTATCTGAACTCATTCATCAAACCTTGAGTGCATTCAAGGGTGAAAACCGTCACGTTGTTGGTGTGCATGTAAGGCGAACTGACAAGGTGAGTGTCTACGTGTATCTTGAGGTACCATGCTAATTGAAATCAATTAATTTATTTGTGTGTATGTGTATGAATACACTTCAAATTCTTTTGGGTAACTAGTGGAGTAAGCATGTTTTATGCGTTTCAGATCGTTGTCAGTGGTTATCGGGTAAATGATGCCTTATTCAAATAATGATAAAAGACCTACGAATTGAAAAGCTCCCCACGTGTGGTAGAATCGCGATTGGCAGATGAATGAACATTCATCTTCCAATATTTCTCCTGTCAATTTGAAGGATAATATGGATGTTGCACATTCAAATTTTATACTTGTGATGCACAAGATCTAGGCGAGACGGAAGGTGAACACTAGCTGGAATAGTCACACTGATTGTATTCCGTTGGATTTGAAGGTAATGATAGATAGTGTCTGTCAGTGAGATCCAGTATGCACGTTTCGTCAACTGAACGTATCTACTTTCAAGTAAATGACGTTTTTCCAACGGTAATTGAAACTTAGCATTCATCTGATGTTATAGTTTGCATTTATTACCAGTTGTTTCAAAATGAAATGTCTGACGATATCAAGGTACCTGTACAGAAGTCAATTAATCAATTGTACTTGACCACATTTCGGTCTAATCAATGCTCGGGTATAGAGACGGATAACGATAAACTAGCCTTCTCTGCCTGTTTAGCTAGTTGGAAAAGGGACACTTAATCATGACCATTTTTGGTAAAGCAACATAGTTGAGCAAATATTTCTATTTCGTTAACTATCGTACTATCTTCTTTGACAGACCGTTTTGCTTTCTTTCCATACACTTTAACTGACATATACACTAATCCCATTCTTGATTGTTATTTCACCTTTTATATAACCATATTCCTAGTGCACATTTTAACTGTTGGCGAACACAGAGATGTTGAAGATCTTACTGGAAAATCTCCAGTTTCACTAAGGACTGATTTCACACTTCCTTGTATTGTACATCACTCCTACCTCTCCAAGAAGAGATATATGGTCAGTCAACTGAATTCCATGAAAATAAGCCAGGCTACTGTGAAATCTGTCATCTTTCATGTCCAAAGTATCGGATTTTATGCATTCGCTGATGCTTGTCATCGCGTGGGTATTGATTAGTCGTCGTCCTATGATGATTCAAACGCGATCTTTTAGGTTATATATACGTCAATAAATTTTAAAACAGGTACTCAAATGAAGAAACAACATTTTCCAAACTGACCAACCATTCTCAATATCTACGCTTTAAAACAACCCCATTTTGCTTAGAAAATCAAGACAAGGATTTTATGGACGCTTCGCTATGTATGCCAGAGCTTCTTCAGTAGAATATTCAGATTTTTGACAGGATATATCTTGATGTTTGATAAAAATCCGAATATTCTTCTGAGGAAACTGTGGCATACACAGCGGAACTTTCAGAAAACTCCTTCTTTTGACTTTCTGAACATAATGGGTTTATTTTCAAACTTACTTATAAAACGAATAAACCTGACTCAGCGCTCAGCTTCTTTCAGGACACTCGTAGTCTTTTTGACCGGGATTTTTACAGCTTGACCAAGTGTTAGTTACTTAATTCAGTAAAAAAAAATGACTAGAAGAAGCTTCTCATCTGATGGCCTTACATGGATTCGATAAACAGCAGACACTGAGGATTTCTCCTTTAATCGAAGCTAAACTAATGTTGAGTAAAGTCAAGAGGATTGGTCCCAGGATACAAAGTTCCGATCACTTCTTCAGCCATCCGGTATATGTTCAGGGCTTGCCATTACTTTCTGCTTGAAAGGAAATATTGATTTACTCAACCTGTCACAGACCTGTTGGCTGATCATCCTGGTTGATCCTAATCACAATGTACAACTTTTAAGATCGAAAGTTATTTGCATATTGTCCTAACTGTCAAACTAACTCACATGCGTTGCAATTTTCAGTTGATATGGGAAGCCCAATCTTTTGAATTGAGAGAGTATATGGAACACGTGGAGAATTACTTCAGTTCACTAGAAAATGTGCCTATACTGGTGCGTGAGATGAACGTGAGTGACATTTTCCTATTTTTGCAGTTAAAACTTCATTCATGATGCCTGTGAATATTGAATAAAGTGCAACCAGTTGGTTTATCTATACAAGTATATTGAAAGGCAGTAAATGAGCGCTCTTGTTAATTTGAGAGACTTTTAAGGCCACCCTAGCAACTGGGAAAACAGCCAGTTACATTCCTTTATTTTATGCAAAGAACTTTTCCAGGTGAAATTCCAAAACCTGATTACTCATTTAAGTTGTTGTTAGTGTGGCTTCTTAATCCACTCATGAATATGTGCCAAAACCACCTGATCAGCTATTGGAAGTGATGTCAGACGATTTTCGAACCTGCAGTTAAACGCAGAATAATTTACAGTGTCTTCTTCATCTTCATAGTAGATAATAAGTGTTAACATGTTGATCAACAGTGAGCAACCTAAGTAGCAGTTCAATCCTTGGTGGATAGCTCTGATCTGCGTCTATCGACCACATCCAGCAGTGAGACCACCAGGCCTAGTGACATGGCAATCCAGTGCACTGTATTTCGGTGTACAGGAGGATACTAAAATCCGATCTATTCTGTCTCGATTTCATAGTCAGCTTAGAACCGTTGAATTCCTCAATAAATTTACCCAGCAAAGTGACTTGAAACACACTTAAAATCTATGTTCTGCAGGTGACATTCATTTAAACTCAGATAATCACATATGAATTTGTTTGCATAGAAATGGAGGTTTAACGAAAATGGTATCTCATAATATCTTGGTGACATGAAGAGATCAAAATATGTGTAAAAGTCACATTTGTCGTGTATCTATACCAAAGGTCCTGAACCTTGTTTAATAGGACTGAGTAAGTAATCAACCTGAATATTACATTTCTGAATTCACCAACGACATTTTCCTTATATGCCATGGCACATTCTTCACAACAAACGCGAAACTTTGATCAGATACGGTTTCCTACCGATTTCCTCCAACCAACTGACAGCTTGTATAATTTCATAAGATATCCAGTTTATCTGTAAGACTTGACTGAAGACTGCAAACATGTAGTCGACGGATTTGGGAAAGCACTACGTAAGTAGGCTTCATAGCTTATTGCATGAATATCTTTTGCTAGACTTTGGTTACAATCATGCGTTTGCGAAAGCGGAGAATGACTCTGACAAATGTTTTCCTATTAATTTTTCCAGTTGTTAATTTGGAAGGATTATTGTTAAAATGTACAATGAATGTGCACTTCATTTTCACTGGCAATATTTGCAGGCAAGTTGAAGGAATGGCTATCGAATCTCCATGAAGCCGATGTATTTCACACTAAAACTGGAAAATGGTCGTATGAAAGATTGAACTGCCAACATGCGATTGTTCTGCTGATGTGTTGATGATACTTCTTCAGTCATGGATAAGTGCCTATGCACTGCTGATCAGACTTTAAATCTCTTCAGTAGCCTACATCTGTTAGCCTACTTCACCCATGAAACTGAAACCAATGATTCCATCCATATTATTGACGTGTTAATGACAAGTAAAGAAGATGGCTGCAAGAAGAGAAAGAGAAAGAAAGAGTTACATATAAATAATATCGATGACTAAGGCACAATATCCACACTTTCTCAGCTTCGAATTGATGAAGTATAAATGCAATATAATCAGACACCTAGCATTAAGACCATGGTCGAGAATTCATTTTAACTATGTGGGATAGCATAAGAATCTTATCTCCCTTGTAGTCGTAGATGCCCATTATCGTCAGGGAGAGAACTACTTCCATAATGACCATATACAAGCTGTCTGAATCGTTTGGTCAGTTTGGCATAACATGAACTATGGTTTCTGGAAATAGTACTCAGTTCGCATCTCATGCTTTTGCAGATTTCTTAAAAGTCAGTGGAATGCGTCATATTGGTCTACCATTGACTTATGCTCAGTCTAATTATCCAGCTGAAAACTTACTTGATACGTTCAAAAGAGCCCTCTTAATGACACAATGAGTGGGTAACATCAGAGAAATACTTCAAAAATGTTGTATTGGCAAACGGATCAGCAATAAGCACACCACTGTTAACCTCATATTACCTGGAACAGAATTTCTTGGACGAAAAATTAGACCTATTCTAGACTCTGTGCTTTCCAATGCAGTTTGTGGGAAGCAGAAACTGAAGTAAAGAGTCTCAATCCTATAAGAAACATGTAGCCACGCCTGTAATATGTAAACCAGGTGATGCAGTCTACTTCGAATCTTTCAAGGGTGGTGAGTCACCTCATGCTTAGACCGGAGGAATTATAAAGGTCAAAAGTAGCGTGGGTTGTTTTATGATTTCACACATATTCCAGCATACTCAATGCTTTGAATAATAGTTGGGGCCAGGACCCCAAGTAATCTATCCAAATAGACTAGTTAAAAGAGTCGAAACATGTTTTCACGAACATATTACATCGGTAGTAGAAACTGAATTTATTACTCCATGTACACTCCTAAAGTATTTGAAATAATAAGCCTCTTTGATAAATTTGCATAAAGTGATTAGTAGATGGAGTTTATTTGGAACATGGTATAGTCGTGCTTCGATTCAGTTAGACCTTAGGTTTGTACATCAAGGCATTGTAGGTGAAGACCTAACAAAAGCAAACAACAATGAGTTCAGATGACTGAACCCAAGTGACAGACACAGAAGGCACAGTAACTTAAGGATGATAAATCAAGACAACTATGTCTTCATACACAGTGAGAACTACGTCAAAAGAAAGAAAATTGTTAGGAATACGAGAAAAACGCGGATGCACAACAACCAGCTGGTATATCTGTAGATGTCGTGACGATTCACGATCCCAAATATGCACACCTGTTCCTTTATAGTTTGATACTTTGGCTAGATATTTGATTCATCATGGTACTGTACATTTCATCATGAAAAATCGTCTTCCTACCAGCTGAAACTGGAAGCCTGTTGAGATCTGAAGTATAT